CTTCACTTGCTCACCTTCACTTCTACAAAAAGGCCCCCCAATAAACTCTGAAGTATCTAAATTTCATCCCCACACTTTCCTTTCTATTCCATCAAAGCCCACATTTTTCACATTGTGTGTTCTGTAACTTTTGATCAACACCAATTCTCGCATGGGGCGAGCCAACCGTTAGGCGGGTCGACCCGTTTTATCAATACTGAAAAAGTCAGCTTCTTGACTAGAATATATATATATCAAACTTTGAACCTCATACATACAACTAGAGTATTCAGTATTTACTCAATGTTTGTATATAAATATATATATAATATATAATAGTATAGCCACAACTTGAGCAAGAGCATGCTGGGAAAAATTGTTCTCTTGCTCACAACACAAAGTTAACAAAAATGTAATTCCTTCTCAGTTATTCTTCGGAGGATGCGGTTTTGGCGTTCGATAATCCGAGCTAAAAGCCTTGCTATAATCTCTCCAGTTCTCTTTCCTGCTGTGATCTCCAAGAGCTGTATGAGCTTCCATTCTAACTTTCTTGCAGCCTTTATTGCCTTTTTGCTCTTCGAATCTCGCCATCCCATCTTCGCTCGATTTTCGACTTGTTTCGATCTTCTCACTTGTCGTTTTTCTACCGATTCTTGTGAATGTTCGGTCCGTGTCTGCATGATTTAGGACCGGTTGATGAAGAGTTACCTGCCGTTAGATCGGTTAGTTAGTAGTTAGTTTGTGAAACATAACCTATGTGTATTAATTTCTCATTATACGCTCGGACATTATGTATGATACGTGTATATCGACATGTTAATTTGCTTTCATGCCATAGTACAACAGCATTATTAGTTACCTTTTTGAAAACGAACAAGTCGGTCTCTGCAAGAGCTTTCTCATCAATCGTCGTTCTCACTTCCTTCACTATGAGCATTAATAAAAAGAAAAAAAAAAACGAGCGTGATTATGAAAATTCTTTATCTAAATCAGATTTGTCGAGGGGGCCGGAGAGAAAATTCGACACTTTTTTTTTTTTAACAAACAACACCCCAGGAGTGGGGGTTAAGGCCGGACCCCCAACCTGTATATAAAAGAAGCCCTAAATGGGCTCAAAAGTCACAAAGATACAAGTCTAATGTCTGATACACATCAAGTCAAACGAAATACCAAAAAAGAAAAGCAAGAAATATATACAAGAAAAAACTGACAACTGAAGCGAGAAGAAAATTCGACACTTACCTTGACGAGCATGCGAAAAAGATTCCAACATGGCAAGCAAAATGAGAACAGAGGTCAAAACAAGGTGATGATAAAAGAAATCAATGGTTAGTCTCACCATTTTTTTTAATTTTTTTTTTTTTTT